GAGAGATTAACAAGTCTCACATGATTCCAGCACCAGCTCTATGTATTCTAAGGAACAGACAGACTCATATAATTTTATACCGAAGAGATCTAAATGCTTTTTAACTTAGATAAACACATTTATTTATTTAATTAAATGAACTAATGCATGGTAAATACTCAAACAGCTTCATTTAGTTTCGTAAAGTTGAATGTGAATCAGTTACATAACCTTTATTGAAATGTGCTTTTGGAATTACAGACCAAGGGGAGGTACTATACAACCAGTTGGGCACGGCGTTGGAGGGGTGATGATTTGGGCTTTATAGGTAGGCTTACATGGAGTCCTCTGAACAGTATATCAAATCATTCTGCTGTCAAACTAAGAGTCTGAACACTGAGCTATTGATCTCAAAAACAGTGGCAGCTAAATAATAACAATATAAAAAAAAAAATGAATTGAACTTTATTGATCTCTCAGTGGAGAAATTAACTCTCTGCATTTAATCCATCCCCGTTGGGGAGCAGTGGCAGTCTGTGGGAGTGGGTTTCGAACTTAAAAGCTCAGGATTCTAAGCCCTATTCCCTAACAACAAGGCCACACAAAGGAATGAGTCAAGATGGTCCAGTGGAGATCCTTTGATAACTGTATGGAAATTTAAGGAAATATTTTTCCCATGCCATTAAACTGAGGTTATCCCTGTTTTCCGCCACGCTGCAGCTTGATTTCAAAGGCTGGGAGATGACGACAGCTCCACCAGCACCTCCTCCTCCATCATCGCTGCAGGCCTCAGGAAGTCTGCCCTGCAGAGAGCGGGACTACTGACCCCCTTTTACTCAAAGACCTCGTCTCTGCAGCAGCTCAGAAGGTCGACATAAATGTTCTAGCCAAGGACAGTTCTCCACAGCCTGGTCGTTTAACATGGGCGGCTCCTACTCTCGTTAGAGCACAATAACAGCCTCCTGTTACAGGTTTAGAAATGCAAAACAAACCATCTCATGTAACACTCCTCTTCTCCCTGATGGACACCCCCTATGAATGAAATAGAGGGCAGCTTGGTCCTTTTTGCTCCCAGACCACCCAGGAACATCATAAAGCTAAAAGCTTTTAAAAATTATTTATTTCAAGCAAAATTAAACTAATAAATCTATTTTTTCTTCTCTTCCAGAACCTTCACATGCTGGGTCTGTTTCTGATGCAGGTACCTAACGAAAGCAGGAGGCTGTAAATGATATGCAGAACCACATGTGAGATGCAGACAGGCAGCGAGAGACGATGTGTGTATCCCCCCGAGGAGACGGATACCCATGTCTTCCTGGAAACACAGCCACACATGGATGTTGTTTAATTGTGATGAGATCACACACATGTCCTCTGCTGAGTCTAATGAATGGCTTTGGCAACTATGACTAATGGCTAAGTGACTAGAAACACATTGCACCGTTTACCTGTGAGCCGTAGTAAAACATCCAAGCTATTAACATGCCAGGCTTTGGGTGTATGCGTTCATTTCAGCTTAGTTAGGATGTCCTTAAAGGAAAAGTCCGGTCATATTCAGAATTCAAACTTCTGAAAGTACTTTAAATATGAAATTATTACATATTGTTCAATAAATGATAAGAATTTTTAAATAAAGAGTCATTTTAATTTGACTGTACTTTCCTGGAGACATCCATGTTTGTCAAAGAGCTAATTTTCTTCGAAATGTTGGCTACATATGACGTGTTCAATGGCAAATCCTCCCTCTTCAAGTTGGCAATCTAATGACGAACCCGTCCGTGGATGATCATGAATCGGAAAGGTGAAATAACAATTTTTTTTCACTTTTGCCCGATGTATTCCAGCATCCAGCTGCCATGCACGTGGGCATTGTCAGTTTCACTATAGCTCTGGTGAATTTCAATGGTGAAGTCCTCTGGAAATCTTCAATAATTGTTGTTGATTGCAGATGTGTCTACTGTAGTAGTTCCCATTGACTCTGCTTGTAAAGCGGGAGAATGGCGCTAGGCTTACCTCACCGTGACATCACTGCCGGAAGATGTCAGGAGTGAAGTGTTACTATATTTAGACAAAAATGGCCACTCACGGAATCAGTGATTGCGACGAAAATAATTTTTACTGATTTTTTTACTGATACATATTAGTTCTAGGTATAAATAGGTATAAATAATGATCCATTGATTATTTCTTGCTGGCTGGACTTTTTCTTTAATAATTTCTCTATTGGAAAAACTGACTTTGAATGATGGAGATTGTAAACTCCGCAGTCTCTTCCTACTGTCCTCCCGAGTAACTAAATTAATTGTCTCTGTGCCTTCTTTCTTTCCCTGTATGTATGTATGATGTTTTAAGTGCTTAGACCTGACAATAAGAGGTTGGGGAACATAACAGTGAGCAAGAAAACTGAAACAAAATGCTGCTTTGATCGGTCTGATACGCAGATATGAACAACCAGGATTTATTTCCCTTTTGTTGTCAGTTGTGTAAGTCTTTTTGGGTGTGTGTGTTGTGGGATCATCTGACAATGGTATTGATGCAGCACATTATTGTGGGTGTTTCACTGAAGCGGAAGCTCTAATGTATGATTTCACTATCTAACATTTATCAACCATTAATGCTAGATATTAGTGAAATTTTTTATATTGGCGTATCCATATTTTTAAAAATCATTATTGTGTTATGATGGTCCTTATTACGGAGCCCCTCTGATGACATGGTCAAAAAAATTTTTTAATTGTGGCCACGAAGTAGTATTTCGTGCGCACGTTATACTTATTGCGTGGCCGCGAAATACTACTTCGTGCGCACGAAATACTACCTCGTGGCCACAATTAAACATTTTTTTGACCATGTCATCAGAGGGGCTCCGTACCTTATAAATAATCTAAAAGAATAATTGCGTGGGCATTTATTCTGAAGGAAAGTCGCTATGGTGTAACATACCAGGATGATGGCCCACGCCAGGTATCGGCAGAGAATATGGACGTTCTTTCTTTTGTAGAAAAGAAGAATCTTCCCTGCCTGTGGAGGGAAAAACAGGCACAGAAAATTCAAATTGTAAACCAACACATGAGCTCCACCATTCAGCGTGTCAGTTTGGCCTTGAGTAACCAAATAGTCCTGGGACATGGCTGTGGACGCAGTGTCCCTGATGTGGCGGTCACTTTTCTCCCACCCCTCGGAGCCAGATGTGGCATGTAAGTCATCCGCAGCCTCTGATTAATTTGGTGGTGATGAACGCGCCTCAGCTGGGAACATTAGCGCGGAAAAACACAGAGGAGGGCAGCGGACACCTGGCGTGTCGTCCAGGACTCGCTGACTGAGGGGCTCAAAGCTTAACCGCCCACTGGGAATTAAGCAATGTGGCTGCTTTAGCCTGGCAGCTTCCCACAGACCAAATGGTTATAAGTGACGCTGCCAGCATCAGGGACCCGAGTCTAAAGACCAAAAGCTTTCTCTGCTGACCTTCCCATGAATGTGTGTCAATAAAGGGGAACAGCTGCCCTCTCATAGTGAGGCGGGAACATTTTCACCTTCATCAAAGATGCTGTCATGTTTTTCAGTGACATATTAATAAATGTTAAACATAATGATGCTCATAGTCCGTACCGTGATAAGAAAGGGTCCTTTGACATTTTTAATAAAAAAATAAATACTTAAAAAAGGGATTAATTAACTAGAAATGCATGCAGCGTTCTTTATATTTTGGGAATATTTTCACCCTCAGTCCTCAAAGCATTTGAGTCCACACCCATTGAGATCTGTGTTGCATGTCTTTCACTGTTTCCGGTCTGCCTCCTTTGCAAATAACTCCCCCGAAACCTACAAAATTAAAGCAAAATTCCCCAAATTTAAGAAAGAAAAACAAAAATAAGTCCTGGAAAAAAAACAAAAAAACATTATAAAATACCTTTTTTTTTTTTTTTTTTTTTTTTTTTGCGAAAACATCTCTGCACTTCAGCGCATTGTAAGATCTTTTTTTTCCTTATAGTTTGGCACTTTATCTTCTCTAGTAATTTCTCAAGTCAAGTCTTCTGCTTCTTTTTTTATAAGGCAAGGCAAGGCAAATTTATTTGTATAGCACAATTCAGTACAAAGACAATGCAAAGTGCTTTACATGATTAAAAAACAGGAAGATAAAACAGAATCAAAGCAAGTAGAAAAAATAAATAAAATAAAATAAAAAAAATGCATGCACATATAAGGCATTTCCCTGTTGATTATGGATCAATATCCTGCTAAAAGACCAACTGTCTTCTGCTAGGGATGTTTAGAAACCAGCCCACAACACCACAGATCCTCTACTTTTCACAGTTTGTGACAGTAAGACACAAAAGTTATTTCCTGTAGGTAGCATTTAGTGCAGATCCAGGCGTTATACTGTCACATCCAGACATTCCAAGGTCGTTAAATAATCTGCAGTTAAAGATAAAACATTTAAAAAAGTGCTTGTTCCAAATTTATATTCAATTGTGCTGCCTTTACTTTGAAAAAACAATTTTCCCTTTGACAGTTAACACAGTTACTTATGTGAAAACACATATTTCCACATGTTCTTTAACCATATCCTCCAAAGTTGTAAAGAGAGGAAAAAAGACACTGAAATAAAGAGAGTTGTCTGTTGATCAACTGTTGATACAGTCAGGAACAGGACTATGCTGGTTTAAATATTATTTGTTTGACAGATTTCTGTTTGTTCATTTTAATATTCCCCAAGAAAGTTTAAGGCTGATTTCCACTGTGGAAATTGTTTGTCCATAAATCCAAATGAAATCAACTTGCTACACAATCTACAGGCATATCTTGAATGTATGACTTTAAATTAATTTCCTTATGAACTCGGACAAGACAGAAGTTATTGTCCTCTGTCTAGAGAGTTTGAAAAAGAAGCTGATTAGTCAGTCACATCATCTAGATAGGATTAAGTTGGCCTCCGATAAAAACTTCCAAGCTTTAAATTTTATTTTTGATCGGAACTTGTAATTTAAATTCCATATTAAAATATTAATGAATTTCCTTATTTCGTCTTCTGAAAATTACAGAAATTAGAAATATCCTATCCAGTGATGCTGAGAAACTAGTCCATGCATTTGTTACTTCCAGGCTGCACTATTGTAATTCTTTACTATCAGGAAGTCCACAAACTGTAGTTAAAAGCCTACAGTTGATCCAAAATGCTGCAGCCAGAGTTCTGATAAGGAATAAAAAGATGGAGATCATATTTCTCCTATCTTTATTGGCTTCCTGTTAAATCCAGAACAGAATTT